TTTCGAAATTAACTTTTTCACCTACCTAGACTTACAGACTCTATCTTTAACCTTTTGTTTTCTGTTTCTCCTCACTGTTGCCATGTGCAGAAACTAACCGGAGTTTATCAAGACCATTACATCACAACAGAAATTTGATAACTTCAGCTTTAGGCAGTAAAAAATGCATGAAATAAAACTTGCTGGATTATGGGTCGCTCTAATCAAGAGCAAAAAAAGTTTTGTTTTTTTTAAATAGAGAAAATATTTCTCAAACAAAGTAAAAATGTATTAAAAATTTAGTAAGTTCAACATCCTGATGTGTGTTCAACCACTCTATATGTTTTGAATGTTTTCCCCTTGTACTCAGTGACATCAATAAGCAAGTCACAGTGTCTGCCGAGGGAAACATCATTCATTTGCTGGAATGCAGATCACGAACAAGTTTGGACTCGTATCTTCAAAACATTTATATACTCCAAACCACAGTAATGCATCACAGATTTGAGTTCTCCCCAGAAAGTTCCTCACCAAAGTTGTGTAAATAGCAATAAATTACAGAGCACTTTTTGCTGCTGACCAGTTCAAACCCTGGTAATTTCCACATCTAAACACAACTGGACATGTGGTGGAAGAATATGAGTACAGTACCCACCACAAGACCCTCACATTGTTAGATAATAAAATGAAAATGAAAATCGGAGAATTATCCAAGAATCTTAGAACAAAGGTAATTGAAGCAGCAGCTGTTACTTATATTGGATGGAGGTTGGGTGTAATCTCTGCCATGTTTTCTATCATTTAGAATTGTACTGAGCCTATATTACTGTCGACTTAATCCTAATGATGTTCTCTCTATTCAACAGCAACAACAGGGACGTACAGGCAAGCAAACTGCAAACAGAAATAGAGCATTCATTCCTCGTCATCGGAGAACCACTGCAGAGAACAAGAGGCCGTAGCGAGGAGATGAAACAAACCTCAGCTGAATACTAGGCTAAATCCTATTTCCTTATCATTACTCCAGCAGAAACAGCGTGTCCATCCAGCTGAGGCACACAGAGTATGACAGGCTCTGAATCATCTGTAGAAGCTCTATATGCAGTCTGAACATCCTGCACCATAGCTCAGGCCAGCTGCTCTTTCTTGTCTTGAAGGCTTTACACTTTAAATGAAAGCTGTTTAAGAGAAGTCAAAGTACAACGAACAAGGCAGGGACATGTTATCTCAATGAATGAAATACATCACATACACACTGTGTGCCATAAACAATTAATGCCCAAAACCAAGCATAGACACAACTAACATTTTGAATTTCCCTCGGGATCAAAAAAGTATCTTTCTAACTAACTATGGTTCACATGTTTGTGCTGGCCTTTAGTTGGTCCCAGCCTGAGAGGGAGTTGACAAGACTCCCTGGTGGCACTAGCTGACCCACTTCTGTGCAACTCTATCCCTAATATGACCTGCTGGAAAGCTAGAGGACACACACATAAACACACGTGCACACACAAGCACTGACACTAAACTTGAACTGCCTGCATGCAAAGCCTCAAGGACAGAGGAAAAAACATTAACTGCTGCTGATGGCTATCTTTTTCTCCCTCATCTCTCTGTGTCCGTTTTCTGTTCCTCTCACTGTGTCTGAAGATCAACCATTTAGAGGATTTGCCCTATCTGATTTTGCTAAACTATCCATCAACATCAAGAATGAGTTTCTGCGCTGTTTACGCCTTATTGATGCAGCCACTGGCCCTTATTGCACGCCATCCCCCCATCCCTAGACAGTACAATTCTCCTGTCACCCTCAACTATCTCCTTTATAATGAAGGCTGAAAATACTTAAGGAATTATCTTATTGTGCAGATAATTAGGTGCATCATTGAAAAGAAAATTAAGCTATTGCTTCACAGCTACCTGCAAAACCTGCAAAGTGTAAAGTGTTGAGATAAGTCTGCCACGCTGTGTGATCAGAAGTCATTAAAAAAACAAGACCCTACCTCTGAGAAGCAAGTGTCAGGAAAGTAGTCAGTAATAACTTGTCTAACTGACAGCTGGTGATTGTTCAATGTTTTCTTGAGAAAGAAGGGTTTGATTAAAGAGACAACGTGGAAGTAAACAAAGTCAGAGTGACATTTCAACTGACTGGAACAGATAACAGAGGAGTAGTCGCTACGCTCTGCTTTCTCTTTTACATAATACATCCATATTAATGAATTTATAAATCAATTTCAAGGTCACTGTTTCTCCAGTTTGGTTGTATTTTTGCTTGCAACTAACTTGATTTTTTTTTTCATCAATTAATTTGTTTATAAAAAAAGTTTGATAATTTGAGATAATTTGTCATCATAATTTTCCGCTGCCTCAGGCTCAAAATTCTTCACATTGAAGGTAAACAGTTGTGCTTGATTAATGACTAAAATGATTAGCTGCTTCTTGCTTTACTTCTGATTGATTGTATGTCAAGCAACGTGTTTGTTAATTGAGGAATTGTTTCTGCACTAATTGCATCTAAACCACTTCTTACTCACTACAAGTCTTAGCAGGTTAATCATTGGATTTAAAAAACTAAACTAAAAGCCAAAGTTTAAGACTTTAGCTCACAGATACTTACTGTGCTTTGATGCTTAAAATACAAACCCGTCCCTCAGTCAAGCCTATTTCTCTGCTGCTAATGCAAGCTATCAGTGGCTGTATATATTTATATAAGGGATGACAACATCAAAAAAGAAGGGTGACCTAAGGCTTTGGGACACACAGGCCAATATTAGGTCCTGTTGTATACTGTGTACATGCGTGTGTGTGTTTGCATGCGTATCTGATCCGGCCATAGTCTGGAAGAAGGAACAATGGCATTCCTGTGCTCAGAGCTCCAGGTGGCTGTGGAAACCCAATCCCAAACCAAACCCCACTGGCACACAAGAGTGCCGGGAACACCGAATACTGCTGCCTCCCTCCGGAGACATGGGCCAGAATAGAGCTATTGTTCCAAAGCCGCTCGGAGCAATAAATGCACCACAGCCACCTTTTATGACAAATACCTACTATTAGAAGTTGATATCGAAGATTTTCACCATTACATTTCACCTTATGTTACCTACTGTGAGGAAATATTGAGAAAATGACAGTCTGTTCTGATTAGAAATGAAAGACCTTGTTGTATTAGTTCACATAGGAGTTTTGCAAAGATTATAGTAAGAACATACAATTATTACCGCCTGCATCAACATTTCACAGTAGAAACACACAACATATTACTTAAACACACCCTCAATGTGAGCTAAAACCACAATCATGTAACAACACCCCCACACACACACACACACGTTCTTGTATACATATGTCCGATGCCATGATGTCATTCATTTCTTTGGCACAAACCTTTTGTCATCCAAATACTCGCCTAACTAAATATGTTCCCAACAATGGCAAAAAAAACAAAGTGATTCAAATCAAAAATCAAAAATCAGTGCCCACTCAGAAGCACACACGTACAAAAGCAGACACATCTGCCGACGCCTGACTACACAGTCAATACACACAGGGAAGGAAACACATCATGCCGACTACACAGCCTTGAAATGAGGAACATGATTCATTTCCTTTCAATGCTGGACAGTCATGCCTTAACACTGAGCAGGATTCGGATACAGCTCTGAGGCATGGTCCGAAACCTGAACAAATAATATCCTGATCAGGAAAAATGCATCTGCTGACAACTGCTCTTGATTCACTTTCCAACCAGCATATTAACCTAAAAGGTCAATTCAGAGCTTCTTCAACGTAATTAAGCTTTAAATCACATCTTCTCAAAGCGTGATCAAAGCCATAAGCTCATCTTCAGGCACCATGGGACCGAAGCTACAGGTAGCAAAAATATACAGCAGCTTCCTTCCAGCTACAGTTCAAGCACACTTTGCTACGACACATGTACAACACCACACACGCTGGGGATAAATAATACATGCTCTTTTCTTCTCTCCCTTTAAGGAACATGACAGATTAATATAATTGGTTTCCTGTCGATGCTACATCTTCATCTGCTACTGCAGTCTCTTGCAGGATTGATAGAGGATCCATTTTCTTATCTCTTGCGATAATTACAGTTAATGCCTGCTCACTCATGCAAACTCATTCCCTCCTCTTTCACTCACTCAATGAGCCTCACTGTCTCCAGCACATACACATACTGTAGGTCAGGCCCCACTTGCTTCAACCAAACCCTATCAAAAGGTCTCTTAGTGATTGAATTACATGGAATGTGATTAAGCGATGTTGAGCAGAGAAGGAAGGCCCTCAGAGATCCAGCAAGGAAGGATCTGGTCACTGTTTAGTTTCCTACTATAAAGGGTAAAGCTAAATCAGCTGACCTCTAATCAGGACATGCAACCAGCACCAAGCATGGGGTTAAATTCCGGGTGTACAGCTCATCTTTCCAGGCTATGATGCAACACTGAAGCTCTTAAAATGTTCACACAGAGAAATGAGGAAACGTCCACCAGGAACAAGAGCACTCATAGGTTACAGTCGGTTTAATAACCATTGAAGTTTAAGGTTTAACCCAGACATTAATGTTAGGGTTTTGATATCACTGTGTCCTGTCTCTCAGCAGTCATTTGAATACACCGTTAAGAGAACTCGCTGCAGTCAAATGCTGCAACTGTGAGATAATGTGGCAGTGGCCCATTCACGAGAAACCAAACCAAAAGTAAACGCTAACACAAGGTGGCTTAAAAAAAAAAGTATCTAGCAGCATCATTGTCGTCGACTTAGAAGGCTTTCTATTATTAGACCCATTCCCCGCTGGTTATGAGAAAGCTTGTGTCGGCTAAAATAGCAGAAAGTGACATAATGTGTGTTTAACGGGGGAGTCGCACTCGCATCACATCTCCGTTGCTTGGCTGCTTCTGTCAACAAGAAGCCTCTCTGACATAGCGCCACAAGCCCGCTATTTGACAGTGTGGCTTAAATAGGAAATAACCGACAGTAACACGGTGTTTTCAGGCGTTTTGTTGGCTTACCTTGGGAGACAGAGCACCTCAATCCACCGCGGTGGCGCAGGAGACCGCAGGCTAGCGTCGAGGCAGAAAACAGGCGCCGATACGGTTCAAAGTATCACAGCTAAGTTAGCGTGGCTAGGTAGCTTAGCGAGCTAACGATTGGGGGGGATGGGGGGGAGGCTGGTGGGTGGTGGGGGAGTGTGGTCCTCTCTTATGTCGTCGAGGCGAACCAGTTACCTCTAACAGCAAGCCGAAGAAGAGGTTTCCACTCCCGTTGAACGCAGCAGCAGCAGCAGCAGCAACATAGTCCAGTGTCAAAAGAGAGTATGAATCAAGACATCCATTTTAAAGAAGCGTTTAACTGACTACGCTATTGATCAGTCGGCTGCAACGCGATGTGCTGTTGTGTGTGGCTGTCTCTCCGGGCGGACGAGCTGCCTCTGCCTGGCCTGGCTCTGTGTGACAGCGAGAGAGAGAGAGAGAGAGAGAGAGAGAGAGAGAAACCAGGGTGTGCGGAGCAAACGAGAGGCAGCAGCATCACTACTCATCCCTCCCTCAACCCGGAAGAAATTATTAAACTGATCCCATCCTCTTTCGCATAGTCTAGTAATATTACAAATGCATCCAATTACTGAACCGTCCATCGAGGTGGATGTATAGTTTTCTATTGTAATAAAGGCAGAGTTACAACAATTGGCCTACTTAGTCCTGCATTGTTTGGATCATCAGATTATTTTGACTGAAAAGATACAAAATGAAAATGTTGTAGACTCTGTCCTAATCGATCTCTAACACGCAGTAGCATAATAGTACGATAACTCAAACGTCAGTCAGGTGTTGCGTGATTGTAAATAACACTTTATAAATCACTGAGGGTAAGCTAAAAAAAAAACAAAAAAAACTTGCAGTCCAACTTATTTAATACAAAGAAAGAACCACTTTTATTACAGCTTTGTGAGCTGCAGGGAAGACATTTTTTGTATCTTGCACTTTCTGTTCTGTGACTTATATTGGTTCTAATTGGAAAAGAAAGTCGTTACATAATAGATGGTGGAAATGAAAGGGTTGTGGCCATAGTGTGGTTAACACTAGAAAGACCAAGGCAGTCATTTTGACTGTTTTTTAATTTTGCACTGTAATAACTTACTTAAAATAAAACCTATGTAACTACAGGACCATGACTTTTCCTAAATGTGTCTATATTTTATTCTAGCATTGTAATTTTAGCAAAAACACAAAACACAAAATAGTTTTGAGTATTTCTACCTTGAAAGTCCATAGCGGTCATATTGACTGCATGTATTATAGCCAGTGTATCATTTCAGTATTCGCTACTTTTTCCCACTCTTGAAGGTAGAGGTGGGCGATATGGGGAAAAATATCATATCACGATTTTTTTTTGTTGGCAAAATCACGATCACGATTTTTTTCATACTGTTCTTTAGACAAATTTGTAAGTTGCTGACCAGTTCAACCAAACTTATTTCCCTGTATAATGTTTTTAAATGCACAAAAACTGCTCTGACAAGTTTAATCTATTTGAAAAACATCTTTGTAGGAGGTCTGGAGGTCTCACCCAGAACATCTTTAGCAACAGAAATGTCTTTCCCTCAATTTGATCAATATTTATGCACAATTTGAAGGTTTTCCTCACCACTTTGAAATTATGATTTAGTTATGTGTCCTCTTTTTATGTTCATCAGGAACATTTTCACGCAGTGATGCATTCATTTAAAAACATGTAGACTTCAAGTTCTTGTGTTTCTGTTCTATTTAGCCCTGCAGAGTTCCTACAGCTGGAGCTTCATATACCTGCAGCCTTTGTTGTTTTTTATGACATCATTTAGTTTTGTTTATATATAATCAAACATAATACAGAATGTGTTCATTCTGTGACACATGATCAAAGTAAGTTTTACTGACAGAAGAGTTTAATTCATAGATATAACTGCCGGTCAGTAAAAAGTCCACGATTCAGACTGATGTCCACAACAAGCTTTAATCTTCACAGAAGATACATCATGGAGACACCGTGAAAACTAGAACAGACAAGTTTTTAGCCTTCAGCTAAAATCACTTCATGTGTCAAAAGGTAAATTAAACATTACAATGTAAAACAATATTTACCGTGTTCGCCTGCTGACCAACGCTTAGAAAAGAAGAAGGACGGGAAAATAAAGTTCTCGGCAGAACCCGCGATTTCACTCTCTCTCTCTCTCTCTCTCGCTGCTGCACGTAGCCTAGCTTTCCGGTGATGTGTTGCTATGAAAACCTATTAAACTTAAACAGCGCCAGCTACAATAGAGGGGGCGGGACATTGTTGATTGACAGACAGACAGTCACCATGGTTACTCACTCTCACCTGCCTGCTGCTTTGTAACAATGTTTAGCCTAATCCCTATAAATTCAGTTATCACAACAGGTGAGCGTTGGGTGGAGAGGCTTGATAAGTAACCTTTAAAAACTGAGAGAGAGCAGAAAACACCGACAGTAACATTTTAAACACCAAGGTTATATCTCCCATCACTGTCTGAGCTCCGCCCTGTCTGACTGACTGTTAACGCTATCTGAGATGTGTATTAATCTTAACTGTGCACACTATGCAGATAAATTGACTGTTGCTCACAGCGTGTCGGTTTGGAAAAAATATCAGAACAGTTGCATATAACCGGATGGAGTTGTTTTTGCAGACTTTACTTTTAAGTTTCGTTTTCACCGCTGCGGAACAAAAAATGAGGAGACGTATCTGTGTCGGAGAATAAACTGCAGCATGATAGAATACACATACACATTAGCCCGGTTCTACGATCTCTCTGCTTTGGCAGATCGTCAGCAAGTTAAAATCCTTCACGATCTAAGATCGTTATATCGCCCACCACTACTTGAAGGTGCGCATCGCTGTTGCCTATAGCAACTATTGTTTATAACGCTCGAGCCAAGGAGGAAAGAAAGCTTACCCGCCTAAAACCATATAGAAAGAATAGGGGACATATATTTGAATTAATCGACATTGAAAAGGCTGACTAGAGTAAATTAGGATCTGATTTAGAACAGAATAGAACAAAATGTCAGGAAGGAGGAGGATTGCTGCCACAGAGGCTCCAGAGCCTTGATGAGGCAGAGTCTTATGGAGGCGCAGGTTCGGATACGGAAAGTGATGTCTCCTGGTCTCTCGAAACTTCATCTGACACTGGCTCTGAGATTGAACCTGAGAATGATACAGAGATCATTCCCATTCGCAAAAAACGCCGACTGCTGTTCCCGTGGTTGTCGATAAACTATTCAAATTTCAAATTCATTAGAATTTAATGTTTCTGTCCTGAAGTTTATTATACCTTTCACAACATTACAGATCCATTTATTCTTATATTTGATACTGATTATTGAAATGATATGCAAATAATTCGTAAACAGTCAAAATGACCGCTATGGCCTTTCTAGTAGTGATAGAATGCCGGCCGTTCTAGTGTTAAGAGTAAGACGAACCAAAGAGACCAGAGATAAACAAGTAGGCCTATTGAAATAATAGGATAAATCATGCCAATATCCAAGTCATGTTAAAGAACCATGTCAGCCAGTGTTTACTTTACACAAGAAGTCAGCAGTAGTTACAGGCCTATAAGGGCCCGTTGAATGATATCATAAGCAACACCTAATTGTTCTAAAATAGAAGATTGTTGAATGTTAAGGTTTTTAACACTAATAGCAAGCATGTATATGTGTATTACAAAGCTCTATCACTGCTGAACATTGCAGATTGTGGCTTGAAGGTCTATTCTGCTTTAAATTAATTAACCCTTAAACTGCAACCTGAACCCTCAGTGTACCTTCTTCTCCCGATAAAATTAACTCAACAAAACAAGCATATCTGGATTTATTAAACAAGTTCATAAAAAAGAAACAGAATAGGATGGTTACAAAAATTCAAACATGCCTCATTATCTTGTCATAGCCTTCATACATTTTTATTACACAGATTGGTGTGAATACATGCACCCCATTCTCTACCAACCAATCAGTCTAGTTGAAGTGTTAGAATGTTTCACTAAAAACATATCAATTTTTTGTGATTGATCCAATTTGCTCTTGAACATATCAGTCATGGATTAATCGAAGTCTGATCCTCACATTAGGTGCTTATCTCAGTTTTGTTCCCAACATATTCCTATTCAGAAACATATTCATTAAAGCCTGCGTTGAAAACTCTCTGAAATAAACCACTGTGTTGGAGAATGTAAACAACCTGTGGGAATCTCTTATCAGGTGAGCATGACAGAAGGCTCTTATTCTTTAGCTATATAGGTTTATTGGCCACTACTTGCAAACAAAAGAGCTCGGGTACAGCTGAGGGCTTGTCATATATTGCAGCTGCTGAGGATAAAAATTGTACTGAAAAGGTTGGAAATAAAAGAGTGGAACAGAAAATTGGCTCCTATTTTCTTCTACAGGGAAAACAACTGTTTACAGCAAACAGGGAAGAAAACTGTAAATAAGATGTCAACAGTATTGCTCACTATTGCCTGTTCCATCAGGCGAGTGTTTAAATGTCTCGACTTGAGGCCCAACCTTTTTCTCGTCACAATTTATTACCAGAATAAGAGAAGCACTTGGGAGTGCTCAGACCGCTGCCGGTGCCAGGCATTGGATGCAGCCTTACTCAGTGAGTTCATTTTCAGCAGTTGATACCATTTTAGTGGCCGCTCACTCACCGGGATGGTAAATTATGTTTCTGATTGGCAACACATTTCTGGATGTAATTCTTTAAGCCATTCAAGGTGGCTGATATGACACGATCAAGTCTTCTTTTTCAGTATTCCACATGCAAATTGGTTTGTGTCGGCATCACTGCCAATCTCCTGTTGCACATAATGAAGTCAGTGAGAAGACGTGTCTCATTTTTGTGAGTCATCGTTCTCTACCTGCACAGACAGAAAACACTCTGCCTCGACTTGATGAGATGTGAATAGCAATACAGCTGCACTTCTGGGTCGGGTCACGCACAATGTATTCAGGAAGTGAGATCCAGCACGGTGAATGATTAAATATGTGATACACAAAGCTGATTTGCATTCTCTGGCAAGCTCACCATCTTGTATTAGTCAGTGTACATCTGCAAAAGGTTCATACAGGCTTGGGTGTTTTGTGGTCTGTAATTATAATGTTTTATTTGAAATAGAAAACCAACTGACAGCTCCTTTTTTTTCGCTTCCATACACGATCCACTTTAATTGATTTCAGTTTATTTTACAATGAACTCTGTCAACATACTTTTTAAAATACCAGTGAGCGTTTAAGAGTCAGGGCTGGAGTTGAAACGTTTTAGATCTAGGGAAAGAGAATGACTCTGTTATCCTTGCCAAAGAGAGAGATTTGCAGATTGTAAGGCTAAAATTCTGTTTAAAAAAAGAAATGAAAGAAACAGTTTTCAATGCCTTTCAATGATAAAATGTCTTCTTTACAACATTTTTAACTCTGTCTTTAAATGCCTAAAG